ATCAAATTAATAACTTCAAGCCCTCCTCAGTATCATTCTTCATTCTCTTCTTCTTCCATCCACTCTTTGAGGAAATGACTGCCCTTCTTGCTAAAGCTAATTCTTCTTCTTATGCCCTTAATTCCATTCCATCCTATCTCCTTCAATACCTTTCCTCTCCAATCACCTCCTTTCTTTCTAATCATCCATCTCTCTTGATTCACTTATTCTCTCACCCTTTCCCTGTTGTCTACGAACAACTCAGAGTCAGTTTTTAGCCTTAAGGAAACAACAAAAGCCCTTCACTTGACCTTGCCATCCACTGGAGCTGTCAATCTGTCTCTCTTTCCTTTCACAACCAAATCCTTTAAAAATCTATTCCTACTTCTTGTTTCTTCTTCACACAAATGCCTCAACACCTGCAAGTCTGAGTTCTTCCTCCAGCACTTGACTGGGACTATTGTTTCTAATGCCTTGGCTTCATCTTTCTTGAACTTTCTGCAGCATTTGACACTACTGATCATCACTACTCTCTTTTTCTCCTTTCAGTCACATGATCTCACCTTCTGAAGGAGGCTTTTTCTGACTCCCCTCTCCCCACCTCTCCATTGCTAGTGTCTCCCCTTCAAAAGTATCTTATGTTTACATTTTATGTAATATTTGTGTACAATTTTTTGCATATTGTCTTCCCCATCCTGAAAGCAGGGACCATGTTTTTGCCTTTCTTTGTATCCCCATTGCTTAGCACAGTGCCAGACAGAGTAAATGCTTAGTGAATGCTTGATGACTGACTGATCACTACTTCTCAGTTTTTCTTATTGGATCATCAACCATGTGTAGGTGTGCCAGAAGACCCACAGGTCTTCTTCTCTTTTCTCTCTACTCTCTCTCTGTTGATGACTTCATCAACTCCCATTTCCATGTAGATGATTCTAACATCCACTTATCAGCTCTCATCTCTTTCCTAAGCTCAACTACTTGTGCCATCAACTACTGATTCCTACTGGACATCTATCTGAATATCCCATAGACACATCAAAATCAACATGTCCCAAACCCAAATTTTGGACAACTAAAAGGATGAAAATTGCAGAATTTATCTTTAAACTTACCCCTTTCCCTAATGTCTCTATTTCTCTTAAGGACATCACTGGCCTTCCAGGTTTACAATTACAGTGTTTCCTTTACCTTGTCCCCCAACATATCTAATCAATTACCAAATCTTCGTTATTTAACTACTACAATATTTCTTACACATGTCTTTTTCTCACCACTGTCATGGCCACCACCTTAGTTTAGGCCGTAATCATTTTTAATGTGAACTTCTGTAATATCCTTCTAATTCTTTCCCTTTCAGTCTTATTTCTTCTCTCCAATCCATCCTCCACTTAGTTACCACAAATGATTTTCCTAAAATACATGGTCTACCATGTCGCTTCCGTGTTCAAACAAACAAACAAGCCAAAATTCCAGTAGCTCTCTATTGCCTCTAGGATGAAATATTAACAATAAAATACAAAAAAAGACCTAATGGCCCTCTCCCCTAAAGCTGATGACTCTTGTCCCTATTCTCTGACCCAGACCCCATCCCCAACCTTCCTACCATTATTCTTCATCCAGGGGGAACCTGCTGGATGGACACTGAGCCTACCCCCAAACCCATTGGAGGGAACCCTAAATCCCCTCTCTTCTGTGATTCCTTTAACTGCTCTACCTTTCCCAAAGATGAGAGACGAATGTATGGAGTACTCTCCATGTACTGTAAGGACTCCTGCCATCTTCCTTGGAGAAGGGAGGTTCCTTAAAACCTCCAGGTCTATTCCATCTATTTCCATCTATCCTAGAGCTGAATTCTCCTATGTGTATTGTCTTCTTCTTCATTTACAGTATGAACTCTTTAAGAATAGGAAATGTCTTCTTTTCTTTTTGATCCCCAGCACTTTCCATACTGCTTTCCACATAGTAACTGCTTAACATATGCTTTTTCATTCATTCATTCATTCATTCATTCATTGGCAATCAACGTCCCTCATTTTCTGGTTCCAGATTATTGTTCCAGACTTTTTTCACACTGCTTCGCTTTCACATATATTACACTTCATCTAAACTGGTCCACCTACTACATAAGACATTTAATCTCTTGCCTTTGTGATTTTGTACAGGCTTTCCAAAATGCCTTGGAAGCTCTTCCTCCTACCCCTTTCTTCTAGGAAACCCTTGCTCCATTTAATACTCAAGTCAAGTGCTTCAACATAAAGTATTTCAGGATCTGTCCAATTGTTATCACTTGCCCATTCTAAAGTTACTTTGAACATATTTATTATTAATTTATATGTGCAAATATTTCTGCTTCCTCAGTATAATGTAAGCTTTTTGGGGGCAGGATCTGTTTAATTTTTTTTTTTTGTCTTTTTATTCCTACCACCTAGCATACTGTCTGTATATTTTAATATATCAGATATTAATATTAAATTTGGCACTTAATAAATGCCAGTTGAATTGAATTAATTTGAAGAACATTGGTTCTAAATGCCTTTCTGACTGATCATAATTGGGGATGGGGAAGAAATGGGACGAAGAAAAGATAAAGGTTGAGACAGAAACATAATCCTGTAGTACATACCACTAAAGAAATTCTTTTGGCTAGTAAGAAACTTTACAATCCTATTTAATTTGACCTGCTTATTAGTAAAATAAATAAGTAAAAATAAATAAATAATGAACAAAATGTTTAGAGAGTAACATCTAATTTAATGTAATATGGCAAAAGGAAATTACTTTGAAGAATTCTTTCTTCACAAAGAGGAGTTTATATATCAACAGACAATTACTATTTGGATTTCGAGAGGTCACCATCTTCTTACGATTTTCAGCTTTTGCACTCCGGTTTCTGGAGCAGTTATTTATTTCAAAATAGTAAGTAGGAAAAAGAATAACATCATTTCCCTACTGGTATTCTGCCCTTGTTTCTAGCCTAGTTCCTTAACACCCTGTTCTACTTTGAGCCCTCTGTAGGCTCTTTGGAAACTTCTCCCCCGACCCTCAACACTATATACATAGAGATTCTATTTAGCCTTGATTTGTTCTTATTTTAAAAGAGGGTGTTTTCAGTTTGGAACTGTTCAATTATGTCACAGATGGGGAAGTCTCCCATAGGACAAGGAGCTAAAAAAAAATCACCAGGATATTAAAAATTTTTTTAACACTCTTAAAACAAAGAAAAAAAAAAGAATAGGATTCTTTTTCAATTAAAGTCTCTAACTTGGCCTTAGGATTTTAAAACAGTCATTCTCCAAAGATCTTATCATCCCAAGAGTGGGAGTGGCAAATTTAAGCTGCAAGTCTCTCATGAATTGAGACTCTTGCCCTAATTGGTGCTATTGAATAATAAAAAGTTAGTAAAACATATGTGACTTGACTAAAAAGATCTAAGTTCTGTCAAGGAAGTTTAGAGGTGCACGTTTATCTCTCTGTTCTTTACTCTATTCTTTAGGTGGTTTGATTAAACCTGAATTTCAAGGCCCACTTATATAGTTTGTGATGTAGAAGCTTCTGAGTGGTCTTTTGAAGCTTAATGGAGTGTATAGATTTAGAACTATATAATATGGAATGTATAGATTTAGAACTATAGAAAATTATGAAAATTCTAATTAGTATAATAGGCCTTTTTCTATTAAATAGGGCAAATGTATCTATTTCAAACTGTGGGTCTTTTCCTTTGTCTTTTTTTTATAGGTTGTTAGTATTGACCAACATTTAATTTTTTTTTATTTAGCATTCTTTCCACAAACGTCGAAAAGAGCATTATCATCATGTGTAAACATTTATTAAGCAATTGCCTTGTGATAAGCCCTGGAAATCAAAAGAAAGACAAAAACCTAGTCCCTGTTCGTTTTCTCTTGGGAAGACAACATGGAAACAACTTTGTACATAAAGCAAAGAACGTGTAAATAGGAGATAGTCTTAGAAGGGGGCAACTAGGTGGTACAGTGGATAGAGTGCTAGGCCTGGAGTCAGAAAGATGAGTCTTCTCGAGTCAACTCGGGCACTTAACTAGTTGGGTGACCCTGGGCAAGTCACTTAACTCTATTTACCTAAGTTCCTCCTAGGTAAAATGGGCTGGAAAAGGAAATTGCAAACCACTATAGTATCTTTGCCAAGAAAATCCCTAATGGGGTCACAAAGAAATGGGGTGACATAACTGGAAAAGATTGGAATACATTTTACAATTCAGCTAAATTAAACTACCAGCTCTTCAAATGAGGTCAGGAAGAGTCCGACCCGCCTGAAAACGACTGAACAACAAATCTCAGAGGGGAGAGGAGGGAGATGGGAAAGTCAGTCGGTCTAGACCACCTCCCCTGGGTCCTGTTTCTTGCTTTAAAGAGTATTTGGAAGGAACAGCTCGGGGATCCCTCCCACACCAGCGGCGCCCCTTGCTCTTGGCCTATGTGCAGGCCAAGCTCCTCCCTTCTGTTGACTAATCCCTCCAGGACCAGCCACCTCCTTTGCCCCCAGCCCTCTGCCTCCGGTCCGGAGCTCCACCTCCCTAAACGCCCAGACTTCTCCCCTGCCTGCTGGGCTGCTGTCAGCCGCACGGCCAGCATCTACCTGCGGGCCTCAAGCTCCTACCTGTCGCTGGGTTTCTATTTCGACGAGAACCGTGTCACCTCTCCCGGGCTGTGCGCTTTTCCCGTGAGCTGGCAAAGGCAAAGCGCGAAGGGGCCGAGAGCCCTTTGGGGGTTCCAGAAGCAACTCGGGGGCTGTGTCTTCCTCCAGCCTGTGCAGAAGCCTGCCAAGACCTGGGGCTGGCAGCCCAGGTGGCCGGGAAGCTGCCCTAACCTTGGAGAAGGCCCTACTAGAGCTGCTGGTGCAGCTCCAGCCAAGAGGACCCCTATCTCTGTGGCTTTCTGGAGGCCGCTATCTTGGGGAGGAGGGGGAGGAGGGGAGCTGCCGAAGCACCTGGGAGACCACCCTACCGCCCTGGGCCACCAGCAAGTGGGGCCTCGGGCTGAGGTGGGCCTCAGACTGAGACTGGGCTGGAAGGAGCCGGGCCTCCCTGCTGGCCTGGCCTGGGCTCGGCCCGCTCCAACCCTCTACGTGCCGACGGTAGAGCTTTCTTGTAACATCAACAAAGCAGTAAGTCAACTGGGTTTAATTAAGCACCTACCGTGTGCCTGTCACTGTGCTGAGCGCTGGAGAGAGTCAAAACAAATAAACAAAAACCAACTTTTGCTGTCAAGGAGCTCACAGCCTAATGGGGCGAGACCAACATTCAAACAACTATGCAAAATATGTATACGTGTGTGTGTGTGTGTGTGTGTGTGTGTGTGTGTGTGTGTGTGTGTATGCATACCTGTGAATAATATCATTGATATAGTAATAAATTATTATAATACTATGTAATATGTAGTATTATACATATATGTGTTATATATACATATGCATATGTGCATATACACATTTAAAATCAAATTTATATAGCACTTACTATTTGCCAGGTGCTGTGCTAAGGGCCTTACAATTATTATCTCATTTGAGCCCAGAACAACCCTGGGTGTTGGGAGTATTATTATCCTCATTTTACAGATGAGGAAACTGAGGCAAACTATGTTAAGTGACATATATGTGTATAGATGTGCAGGCATATATATATATATAAACACATACATGCATATATGTGCACACATATATTCACACATTTATTATATATAAAGAAGCAGAAGGAAAGCATTGAGATTAAGGATTGCCAAAAGTTTCTTGCAGAAGATGAGACTTTATTGAGATATAAAGGAATCCAGGGTAGCTAGGAGTCAGAAATGAAGAGTGGAAGAATTCCAGGCATGGGGGATAGCCAATCCATATTTAAGATGAGTCTGGAAGGAAGCCAGGGAGACTCTGAAATGGAGGTGAGGAAGGACTACATCACAGGCTTTGAGGGGACAGCCTGCAAAAAGGCACAGAGAGAGAAGGTGAAGTGTTGTGTATTATGAATAGCAAGAAGTCGGTTGTATTTAGATCACAGAATTGGGTCATGGAAGTAAAATATAAGAAGATTGAAAAGGTAGGAAGGGGCCAGATTATGAAGGGCTTTTAATGCCAAACAGATGACTTTCCGTTTAATCTTGGAGGTCATTTAGAGCCACTGGAATTTGTGTTTCTATACATATGTGTTACCGAAGTTTCTGAGATACTTTCAGACTGGAGCCCTCACCTAGAAATCTTAAGAACTCTCCAGGCCATCACATACACACAGCTCTCTTCAGACACACCAAATATCAGAAGAAATAAGTCTGGGCCTACTCTTCCTTAGTTTTTCCACTGATTATAGTGTCTGCTTTTATACTAAAGTGTTTAAGGCTTTCCCACCAGATTGCAGCCTCATTACCTAAGCACGTATTTATGTTCTGGCCAAGAGCAGATTCTTAGGGTGTTAACAACAACAACAAAAAGAAATATTCCTTTTTCTCTGTAGTATTCCAGGCACCCATCACAACTCTTATCTTCCTCACTCTTATTCTTCTCACTCTTGTCCTCCTCACTGACTTCCTAATATCCCAGACTGCAAGATAAGACATCTTCAAATTAAATTATACTACTTCATCTTAACCCTGGCATCCTTCCAAGCAACCTTAAAATAAGGTGCAGTGTCCTTTCCTAAGGAAACAAACTGTACCATGCTGGGGTTGCTGATGGTTCATTCTTTTACTTCCATGAAGTACTGGGGCAAAATACTCAAAGCAAGTAATAGGATATATATGCACATACATGTACATGTACGTATTCACACACATACACATATGCATGTGTATGCACACATATATGTGTATATTCTACATACAGATATGTATATGGAATGTGTATTATGTATGTATGTATGTATATATGGAATAGGGACTAGATCTGTGACTTCATTGTAATGGGGAACTCTCAGGTGAGGATACTTCTGTTGAGGTGTAGAGTTGGGAGAGCTGGTTCCTACCAATACAAGTTACCTTCTATGCAACTTATAGTCTCGGCGAATTACCTAACTGAGCACTAACAGGTTGAGTGACTTGCCCAGGGTCACCTAGCCAGCATGTGTCAGAGGCAAACTTGAATCTAGGTCTTAACTTCCAGGTCAGCTTTCCATTCACTACACCTTACTTACTATCTCTATGTAGGAGTTATTTAATAAGCTGGTTAGTTCATAAGCCATTAATCTGTAATTGTTGAAGGTAGTTAGCAAAAATTTTTCAAGTGCCAGCTATATGAAGAAACCCTTTATGTGGGCTGTTACTTCTCTGTTGGCACTTTCTCAATGCAGAAATTAATTTTTTCTGCTGCAATAATAAAACCTACTTTTAAAAATACCAGCCCACAAGCTGTGGCTTCTTTCCTCTTCTTTTGTTTGAGCTTCTTCCTTTTCCTATTCTTTTTTCCTCTATGTTGCTCTTCTTCAAAATGGCAGCATGTATCAGAAATCAATTATATTCAAATTCAAATCATGCACATCAGTCGGAGAGCTGTAGTTATGAATTTTCCATTAATTGAGGTTTGCTGTTTCCTATGTAGGCAAACCATAGTATTCATTTTGTGGTATATTGAAAGCAAACGCATGCTAAGCACTGAATTATTTACTTCTAGCTCTCCCAAACCCTACCATATTCTCTGGTGACTCTGGCAGTGGTGGTGATTATATTTGTAGGCCTGTCTTCTTCAAAACTGGCAGTGGCTTTTTTGACACCGCTAACAAATGACATTGACAGCACAGAGTCCTTGGGGTGGCTCATAGTTTAAAAGGAAAAAAAGTCACAGTTGTGTGAAAGCAATCACATTATTGGCACTTAAAATTATACTTCCGTACACCAAGGTAAAAAAAAAAAAAACAAAAACAAAAACCCTGAAACTCTGGGACTGACTTTTATTAAAGCTACTGTGGGAAGCAGGGAGGCTGAAATCATACATTCAGTGTTCCTTGGACTGTTTCTGTCCCTGCATTTCTTAAGGCGCAAGCAAGTAGGATTGCTGGAAGGATCATGGATCCAGAGTTGGAAGGGACTTTTGAGGCCAATTAGTTCAAACCTCCTCATTTTTATGATGAAAAAGTTGAGGACCGAGAAGGAGAAATGACTTGCCCAAGGTATCATGAGTAGTAAGTATCAGAAGTAGGATTTGAACATGGTCCTCTGACGATAGGGCAGCCAGATGGCATGGTGGATAGAGTTCTTAATAGCTGTGTGACCTTGGGCAAGTCACTTAACCCAATTTACCTAGGAGCTGCTAGGTGGCTTAGTGGATAGAGCACTAGGTCAGGAGTCTAGAAGACCTGAGTTCAAATCTGGCATCAGATCCTTACCAGCTATGTGACCCTGAGCAATCCACTTAACCTCTGTTTTAATCCACTAGAGAAAGAAATGGCAAACCACTCCAATATCCTTGCCAAGAAAATCCCATGGACTGTGGTTCACAGGGTTATGACTGAATAACAACAACTTCTGACTATGGAGCCTGTGTTTTTTTCTACTGTCCCACAATGCCTTCTAAGGACCTTTAGAAAATTTTAGCATCCTACCACTGCATTTTATACAAAAAAATTAATTTGCCTATGAAAGGTTCAATGCCCAGGGCAAAAATTGATACCCACCTCAAGTAGGCAAACTGAGTACTGGGGATGTAGTTTCTCCTCTTAGTGGATAATAATATTGTGGGAAATACATATTTTTCTTAAAATAAAGGGAGGTGGACAGGTTGATCTTCCTAGTTCCAAAATTCTGTGACTTTGTGAAATTAGAAAGCCTGAGTATGAGCTTTAGTTCTTGTACTTCATGGTTGTATTGACCTGGACAAGTCATTTAACCTCTCTCAGCCTCAAGCTTCTCATCTGTAAAGTAGGGATAATAAACAGCACCTCCCTCATAGGGTCCTTGTTAGGATCAAATAAAGTAATATATAGATACTATGTGTGTGTGTGTGTATAGCTAGACATATAGGTAGAATTTATACAGCACTTTAAGATTTGCAAAACACTTGGCATATGT